TTATGGTTAAATGGGTAAACGGTTATGGTTATGGTTAAATGGGTGAACGGTTATGGTTAAATGGGTACACGGTTATGAGTATGGTTAACCATTTATAAACGGTTATGGGTATGAGTATAAACGTTTATGCAATTACCCAACGGATAAGCGGTTATGCGACTATGAACATAAATAGTTATAGGTAAATAACCACAATTACTCGCTCGCCATAACCATTACACATCCCTAGGTCCACCCCATTGGTTTAAGGTGGCTGTCTATTTCTGAATCATAACTTCAGACAACGTCTTCATCCTCAAGGGACCATTTCTTGTGGAATATTATTATTACATCAGATTTATGGGTATTTTTTTTCAAAAACTTTTAAATGGGTATTTGTTTTTAAGGAAAACTAATTAAAATGGCTTGAAAACTTTGAGTTTTAACAGACAAAATAAAGGGTAAAGTGAATACTATCAGGATTGACTTTTTAGTGTAAAAATATGGGTTTTCGTTAAAATGAACAGTACAAAAAACTTTTCTTTAAAGTTTCCTTGTTTTTATAGGTCGCTTTGACACTAAAATATTATATTCCAGCCTTGGAGCAACCCATAAAAACAAGACTAAAACCATAACTAGAAAAAGATGAGAAAGATAATCTAGAATAGTAAATTTAGCCTGAACTTGAAATCCAACCGTCTATGCTTAAGCTCTCATCCAGAAACACGTCGGAAGAGCAGCTGTCGATAGGAGAGAGATGGCCCAAACAAACAGGGCAATACAACTTTATAGAGCTTTGTGAAAAGGGTGATACACATCAAATCTTCACGTCTTGATGAATTGAGCGTGAAGCGGAGAAGCTATTCCGCCAGGTGGAGATAAAGCCACAATTAAAATTGGTTGAATCAATACATGCGTCGCGTGCATATAACACTTTGACAGTGGACACAACGGACTGACCCAACACGGTTTTTCCTCGCATGCATTTGTCACAGTCGATGAGTGCCGACAGTTGCAAAGTCTATGCTTCGGAATGGTAGTTCACATGCTGGAAGAGGTTGTATTTATGCTTGGAATGGCGATGCACGAGCTTGCAGACTCGATCAATCATTTCGAAAGAGCAACGTACTAATCCAACGATGTGAAAGTGCGTTCAAACAACACGTAGCATTGTTATGAACTTCTCCACACTAAGTGCGAACAATAGTGAATTCATCTTTTTCGTTTGTACGCGCTTGAAGTGATGCTCTAACATTTCAAATTGTAACGCACTAGTCTGAAAAATCCAATTTAATCACTAAGCGAGCAATGTACTAATCAGATGATGCGGAAGTTTATGTACCACGTCAAATTACCTAGTCAAACGAAAAAGATGAATTCACAATGCAGACGATGCGGCAGAAGATGAAAGCAGCTTTGTGGGGGCCAGTAGAAATCATAAGATTCAAAACAGCTTTGGTTAATGACAGCAAATCATGATTATTTAATGTAATTATCCACTAACGGAATATAACAACTGACTAAGTCACAAATCATCAGTCATTGATAGTGCTTTTGTCAAGCTTCCCGTTAGAACAGTTTTTAACTGCTGGTGCTTGAATTTTTCTATAAAAAAATAAAAAAAATAAAAAAAATCAACTGTAATTCTATGTGAAAAGATTGTAAAACTTTGCTGTGTCAGCTTCTAGCGACTTTCTCACGGCTGAAAATGCAGTAAATGTCACTGGAGATGGCCGCCGTGCTCGAGGAGACTGCTAAAAATATCATCACCCATGAGACTAGTTTGTCCTTCTTCGTCGCGATTCCACTAGTGTTCCTGCGCAACAAAAGAGAGGAAGCGTTTTCAAATGACCAAAAGTGCATTCATCAACGTAGATATTTGATTCGAGTCATACGGCACAAAAGTGCTCTCAGTGGTTCTAGTCCAAGTTCGAGACAACTTTCCCTTCTGATATTTGATGATCATAACTAAGCAAGCTCTTAAATGTAAGAAGCCACAAATTATACGATATCAGTAGTTCATAAGAGTTAATAAATTGCTTACCTAAGAGCTACGGCAGCTGGAAATATGAAACCAACGGCGATGGCAGCTGTAGCACCTGTGAACTGAAAGGCAACCCAGATGCTAGGCACAAAATTGGCTCCCAGAAAAATAAAACCCATGAGAACTGCAGTTACTGAGTAGAATCTTCGGTTGTCATATGCGATAGGAATGGCAAAGGGAAAGAGAAGGCCATCCAAATGTAGGCGGAGGGAGAAAAACACAATGGGGAAAACGAGCATCAGGTGGACACCATAGCTCACCCTAACAATATCATCAAGAAACGAGCTATATGGGATTCCAAGATCAGCATCGAAATTTGCCAGCACATCATCCATTGTATGATCCCCAAAGAGAAGGAAGCCAAAGAAGCTGGTTGCGATGTAAACAGTTGAGCAAAATGCAAGCGACGTTCGCACTATTGACTTCATCTGCGCAGGGTCTCTTAGTTCGTTCTCTATAGGGTGAACTGCAAGAAGTACAATAGAATAGTAGTCAGCTAAAATAATACACAACCATGTATTAAGCAATCAAATCGCATTTTAGATGAAGATATGCACCATGGTAAGTAAAGCGTATCCACCACGTCATTTGATCTTTAACCACTCCCTCTGTATTCATAACAAATCTAGCAGGCTAATTTGCATATGGAGTACTTACTGTTATGGTGGCAGATATAGGCGGTGACAAGAATAGGGATGGTGGTGAAAAGCTTCCAAAACGATGCCTGGTCAACCAGTTTGGGCATCAAACGTGGAAATTCAATGCTTCCATCAATCAACTTAAAGATTGCTACTCCCGCAGTTATTGCGACAAATACAACAGCCAAAGCAACGGACAACGCTGATGTGTATCTCAAAGAATCTGCATCAAAAGTTAGTATATGTACAGAAATCAGTCACTAATTAAATTGCTGTTATGCTAGTCAACAACTAAAACTAGTAATTCACTGCATGTAGCAACAGTTGTTAAAATCCTGGGCACGTTAAAGAATCGAATGTGCATAAGTTCGAATCCTCTACAAACTTCTATACAAGAATGATCCAGCGACAGCAAGCAAGCTAGGCAACACAACAATGTACAACGGGTAATGCGCTGCACATGGTTTGATCAAAATGACGAATACAAGCTCACCACCCAAACTACAGCTACTTATACGACAATTAACACGCTTCACATCTTTGCAGCATTCACTCGATTAGTCGTTAGCTGTTCATTCTAATCAAGAAACCGAAAGCAATACCTTACACAATTAAGCTAAAGACGGAGAATTAAGCATCTAAACCTTCATTTGTGTCTTTAATTCTTCAACCAATCTCTAAAGTCTCAATGCAAGCGACAAATATATTTCACAAATACGTGTTACTTTTATTATAATATAAAGAAAAATGAGAGAAGTAGAGAGATTGTACCTACGCGCTTGAAAGAAATAAGGGGAGCCAAAACAAACAGCGTGGTGAGAAGCAGCAGCGAGAACCGGGCCGTCCACCAACGTTGTCCGAACCATTCTTCTATCACCCCCGAATGGCGGACTCCTTCCGACGACGTCCCCGACAGCACGTCCCCTGCAACACCATAGAATTCCAAAATTACCCCCACAATTCCGACCATTCAATTTCCCAACCAATAAATCTCAGCCCGATAGCCGCTCGGCAACTAAATTCGGAAAGTCAGAACCACGTTGACCCAAAAACCCTATACCAAAATAGAAAGCATATCTTTTGACAAAAGAAAAAGAAAGAAAGCGAAAGCATATCTAATCTGTACCGATGATGATCATGTAGACGACGAGCATCCCAAAGTTGTTGACGACGACGCAGAGCTGGAGGAGTGTCCGGCCGGGCCCACCGAACGCGTCGCCGACAAGGCCGGAGTACGAGGCGGCCTTGGAAGCTCTGGTGAACCGCATGATCATGTCGATGGAGGACTCCGTCAGCATCGCGCCCAAGACGATCATAATCAGGCCCGGAACCAGGCCCAATTGCTTGACCGCCGCCGGGAGGGCCATGATCCCGGCACCGACGATAGTCGTCGAGAGGTTGAACACGGCGCCTGAAAAAGACGCCCCCTCGAAGCCGGCCTCGACGGAGCCATAGTCTTCGTCGTGCTTCTGTGGCAGCAGCGGGGCCTTGGGGTTGCGCCGCTGCTTCCGGTCCGAGGAGAGAATCGTCATTCCGGGGAGGTGGTTGATTGGTGTTTTAGCCGTTGAGGAAATTTGGTGAACGGATTTATGTGAGGGGGTTGTCTGCAATGGAGCCGACCTGTATTTACCAGTAACGCGTTGACGCGCGTGAATATCTTTCCGAAAGCAGGCTTTTGAACGCGTGACGCTGCCGTTTGGTTGGAAGTTTATTTCAAGTTGCGAGGTTGTTTTGGGAGGAGAAAGAGACAAAAGGTGAGCTTTGGAAAGTCCTTACGTTGCCGCAAAACGCACAAGGATGGGATGAGGCGCCCAACTAGGACCATCGCAAGTAATTAAGTTGAAGAGACTTTTTTTTTTCCATTGAAATCGGATTTTATAAAGCTTTACTCGGATTTCCTTCCCATTTGGGCATTTCAAAATTTTGTCATAGACGTTTTCAAATCGGATTGCTTACATGGCAGAATTTTAGGTGCCGCCAGATGCATACGTCTATGACGAGAGATAGCGACACGATGAGGAGACTTGATCTTCTAGGTTGCGGAAGTTGCAGCCCAATTTACGCATTGAAGTCTTTTGACCAAACATAGAAGTTGAATGAAGCATCTAATTTGACTCCAGCAGCTGAAGGCATGGAAGATGAGGAGACTTGATCAATAATCAAGGGTAGCGATTTTCGCACTTCATAATTGACCATCTGCACTCCAGATTCGATATTTTACAATTTTTCTCGTGATTGTAGGAGCCTAAAAGAGGAGTGCTTAGAAAAACTTGACACTAATTATCACCAGGATCTGTGTTACCTTTGGGTCGAAGGTTCATCGTTTGTAGGATGCAAAGTGGAAGCGACAAGGTTTAGGTCTAAGAACTCACAACATATTATACAGTACACAAGTGTCATGCCTTCAGCAGCGGTGGCATTTCAATCTAGGTTATAAAGTTAGTTAAAACTTACAGGCATTGCCAGTTAAATGGCATGGCACCATATCAACGCTTTCTCTTCCGCTTGGAGCTTTTACTTGTATCACTTTTGGGGTCTTGTACTTTCTGTGAAGATAACTTGGCCCCAACAGTGCAACTCCACAGAGCTCTCTCTACATCTGATGGCGTGAAGGTCTCGCCTTCTGCGCTCAATTCCTGCAGACATTTCAAGCAGAAACTTAAAAGTGAAGCAAAATCTATATAAATGTAAAGCTCTACAAACTCGATCACGTGTACCATTACTTGAAATACAAGGAAGGGCACTTGCATGTAAACACTTTGGAAATTACTTTACATGATCACAAGTTGGTTTTGCTTAACAGCATGCTAAATCATATGAACAGAATTTACGAGAATTGAACACCGAAAAAGAAAATGCTACACTCAAACCATCATAAAGAATGCCTTGAGTTAAGATTACAGCTTTCCACAGAATTCTATATGTATCATAGTATTATCCTTTTTCAATTGGGAGGAGAGATGGCCGGCAGTTTTGAACTGTCACGAGGACAAAAAAATAGCCCTGAGAATGTCTTCAATCGAGAAGGTTGTATATGCGCCCTCTCATACTCATCTCATCACAACCGCCGGAACTTAGAATTATCGTCCCACACCAGCACCACATTACATTCAGTGGCATCAGATTTGTGTAATGTGCATGTGTTAACTTATATACTAAGGAATCATCCAGTAATTTTCGATGTAACACAAACCCGCAAGAAACTGACTGACCTTTGCCTTCTCCTGCAATTTATTTGCAAATAACAGGTACTGCTTAAGTGTATAGTCTTTGGAGTTTCCAAGAGCTGCAACCATAGCCTTCCACCATTCCAAACCCAAATTCAATTCCATAATTAAGCAGCAGGATTACATTAATCAGAAGCAATTAACACATAATCAAATGAATAAGTTTCAATGTTAAGCAGAGGATATTTACTCTAATCAGAAGCAATTACCACAAAAATCAACAACCCAAACCCTAAATATTAAATCACCTCGTCGGACATGAAAGGCGCCACGTCGGGCGCATAAGCTGCAAGAACGGCGGAGGCGGTGGCGGGACCCACGCCTTTGAGCACCGTGAGCTCAGAGATGGCCTTCGAGATATCCGGAAGAGACCGAAACGCCTTTTCGGATGCCGATTTCACCACGGAATCATCCAAGGATGAAACGAAATCCAGCAGCCGCGGCCTCAAATTCCAGAATTTTACATCCAAGTTAGTACATCATCACTATATGTATAGAAGAAATCAAGAGAGGGAGAGAGAGGAGGTACCGCCATTTTCCACGGCTGAGCTTCCAGCGCATGAGGTCGGAGAGCTCGGAGGTGGTGATGAAGGGGTTAGGGTTTCGCTGGCGGAGGAGAGGAGGGAGTTGGTGGCGGTAGAATTCGTCGAGAGAAACCAGATCGGGTTTGTTGAGCAATTCGATGCGAGACGAGTAAGAAGAGAGTGATTCTTTCCAGAGACCGAGAGTAGAGCTCTCAAATAATTCCATTGTTGCTGTGAGGTTTGCTTGCGGCGGCGGCGGTTGCCTGTTTGCTGCGGCGGTGGAAGGGTTCCCGCTACACCCGCCCTTTTAAATTAATTAATTCCTGCCTTTAGTTTCAGTCCAGTGTTTTCCCGTCTTAAATCTTAATGGATTTCCAAATGGGTCCATTGGGTTGGGCTAATTTGACCCAATTTGTATTAGGCCAGAGAAAAACCTAGGGTTGGGCTAAGAATATCTTATATGCGGAAAATTAGGGCCGAAGTACATGCCTTCGTTGCCGGACCCAATAGCCTTAATCTTGGCTTGTTCTTTAAAGGATGATACTTAAATCACGAATACTGCTTAACTCTTTACATATAATAAGTTACTATTCTTTCAATGATGACGGGCACATTATTTCAGTGTATAAATATTATAATATGAATCGTTCATTTTCTTCATGATCATCATTTAAAAATTATTTCTAAAAAAATTCATTTGATTTCGAAACTACTTAGTCATCCATGTAATCAATCAAATTGATAGTTAATCATAAGAATGCTACTTGTTTTTATAAACGCCTGTGTTCAACTCATATACTAAACAGTCTCCAAATTGAATGAATTTTCCAAATATGATCGTCATACAACCATAAATTGAATGAATTTTCTAAATATGATCGTCATACAACCATACATTGAATCACACGATGGTAGTAAAAAAGTTGAAATGGCTTTACGAGTCTTTTTGGCCTACAAAAGATGCAGGCAGAGGATGGACAGAGGATACACTGTTAACTTTATCCTCGTGCATTTCTGCTTCCATTAGCCATCATCTTGCGTCTAATTATTACTAGCAAACCTCCACTTCTGTCTACTTTTTTGGTTTCTGTCAACAATATTTGGTTGGCTTAATACTAACTGCTAGATGGTCCATGCTTAATGATGCAGGACTTTATGATGATGTCCTATTAAAAAAGTTTCGAAAAATCTCCGTACTATTATTACCAGAGAAATGTATACAAGGCCCTACAAGCGTACCATCAATTCTTCTGTTAAAGTTAATAAACAAGTGGATAAAATAAGCAAGTAATTAGCTTCAAGTTTAATTAACTTAGTGTTGATCCTAAAAACTACCAAGCCTACGTGGCGTGCAGGCTGAATAATCTATGAGCTAACTACGTCCTTCGGTTGTGTGCAGGGCATGCCAACTCGTTGGCCGAGCTTGGCCGAGGAGTAAAATATGTTGATGTTGCGTTGGGTGCGCGGCTGACTTCTGCGTCTTGCGATTGCGGCCGAGGAAGGAACTTGTTTCAGCCTTCAGGTTCTAGAGCCTGAAGACAAGGCTGCTAACTTAACGAAGTTCAATATCAAATTCGGCTTCCAATGTTCCGAATGTAGTAACTCGTAATACCTCGCTTCGCCGAGAAGGCTGATGAGATGACCTCGACCAACAAGGATTCGGAAATCCTTCTCGATCGAGACTTGGATAGGTAACTAGTCGGCCTCGACGCAGTGCTGTTTATGCCAACTGAAGATGTTGCAAGATCGGCTAATTCTACGATGACAGTGCTGTTTATGCCAACTGAAGATATCACCGGTTGCCTCCACAGTGCTGTTTATGCCAACTGAAGATGTGTCGGGGAAAAAGAAAAGAAAAAATCTCAAGGTTGTTGAGAGAATTTGCGCAGGGTAGTTGTGTGTTGAATTTGAGGTCATTCTTCCGTTGCATCGAGTCGTGTACATATCTGCTTGCCACGGTTGGATGATAAACATCTCAATCGCACCCAAAGTCTTTGTGACAGAATATCCTGAGAAATAAAACCATGACCACATGCGAGTCTGATGAAAAATAGGGACTTCTGCATGCCAATCCCACTTTATCCCACATTTGACTTATCCCTATCCAATCACTGAATCTTTTAGGATGGTTCTACACGGCTCTTCACGTAAAAATCTCACCTTGCTGTCATCTTGATAACCTGACCTTCTATCATATTAGAAGCCTAGCTAGGCTAGGCCTCATTTTCTTGCCATATGCATGTTACATCAGCCATCAATCAAATATATATATATATAGCTGAGTTGCTCTAACCCACACGGTACATTGTTAACAAATCCAAATTAAATCGGACTGTTCCACCTGTCTCTCCGTTGAGATATAATTCGAACCCTATTTATCTGGTTTAAGAAGATGCATATAATTCGTATTAAAAGATAATTATGATAAAAACCATAATATTATCCTTTAACAAAAATATCTTCCCTTTTCCATCTGACGGTTGAGAACTATGCTTACTCAACGACCTTGATTACACGGGCCGATGGTGTTAATTTAGGTCCAAACATTACCCCCCAGTTCCCTTGAGCTTCGGCCCGTAAGCCGAATGGTGAAGGAAATTAGTCAGTCGAAGAACCTCCCCTATTGTCGAAAATGAAACTTTTTACTCAGCAACAATATCTCTGTATTGCCAATGCTATGATCTTCCTCGGCTGCCACAATTCCATACAAGGCTCGGCCACTTTAATAAATAACCTCTTCGACCATCTCGAATTTGGACCGAGGAAAACCAAATGGCGTCGAGGAAATTTGGGCCGAGGGAACCAACTGAAGTCGAAGGCCGATAAAAACCAAATGAGATCGAAGTCTCAAGGACTCTTGCCCACTGCTTCTCCTGGTACTTATATCTAAATAAATAAAAAATATATATATAGGTAACCTGATTGCCTATATGAATTGTCGGCCATGCATCTCCATCACATCTTTTTCCTACTTGAAATGATAACCTGGATAACTGTTTGGACCCGATTTTACACCATCGGCCCAAGCGATCGAGGCAGTTGAGTGGGCATGGTTCTCAACTGTCAGATGAGAAAGTAGAGATAATTTGGTTATTAAAGGATAATATTATAATTATCTTTTAATATGAATTATCTTGGTATCTTCTTAAACCAGATAAATAGAATGTGATTCATGTACCGAATAAGCAGTACAATTCGAATTGATTTGGGATGTCTGACAACACTTGGAAGTAAAATGGATTTAAAATTCATTTGATCAGAATGATGATGGCTATTGTTGATGAGGTGAGGATGAGATAGGAGACCTAAGAGGGCTAGGTTTATGGATGTTGTCAGATGAAGTGAATAGACATGGCCTGCATGCCGTGTCAAAGGCTACCAGCCACATATATATATATATATATATATATATATATATATATATATAATTGGCGACATTATGTATGCGAACTCATTGGAAAGGTGCAAACTTTGTTTTATATATATATATATATATACACATATATATTGTTTGTACCATACTTAACCAATCCCAAAACTATTGAGCACCACGTTATACCGTTAAGGACCCAGGAGAGTTTCTTTCCAACTAGGAGGCCAATCACAGCGTGACACGTGTCGACATTAGAAGCCAATCATAGCGCGACACGTGTTAACATCAGAAGCCAATCACAACACAACACGTGTCAATGTCAGAATGAAACTAGAAACTCTCTTCTATAAATAGAGATCATTCTCTCACAATATTTCCTAATATCATTTGTACTAAATCATTCACCAATACTCACTAAAGGAGAGCTTGAACCTATGTACTTGTGTAAACCTTTCACAATTAATGAGAACTCCTCTACTCCGTGGACGTAGCCAATCTGGGTGAACCACGTACATCTTGTGTTTGCTTCCCTGTCCCTATCCATTTACTTACTTATCCACACTAGAAACCGGAGCAATCTAGCGAAGGTCACAAACTTAACACTTTCTGTTGTACCAAAGTCATCACTGATTTTGTGCATCAACATATATATATATATATATGTATGTATATAATTGGTGGTTGATTAGATGGACGTTATCCAAGCATGCAGGTTATCTTGGATTCAATGAGATAAAATGAGTTTTAATAGTTTGTGAGTCTTTCTCATCTTATCAACCAGTGCGTATTCGTTATTATAAATACAGAGTCGCAAGCAACATTCAAAGCCCCCATTCATTTCAACACACAATTGCCCTGCACAAATTCTCTCAACAACCTTGAGACTTTTTTTTTTTTTTTTTTGCCGACACACCTTCAGTTTGGATAAACAACACTGTGAAGGCAACCGGTGATATCTTCAGTCGGCATAGATAACACTGTTACCGTAGAACCAGTCGGTCTCGCAGCATCTTCAGTCAGTATAGATATCACTGCGTCGAGGGTGATTGGTTATCTATCCAAGTCTTGGTCGAAAAGGATTGCTAAATCCTTATTGGTCAAGGTCATCTCATTAGCCTTCTCGGTGAAGTGAGGTGTTACAGTTTATTGAGCTCGGCACATTGCACGCCGAGTTAGTTTATGATTAGATACTCTTAAGTGGGATTTAGAGTTTGGCATTCCGACGGCCGAACCACGTTTATTATTAAGACATATATCCGCTTTGAGTATTTGTGCCCTTACACTTTGGTGTCGATTCGGCGTGAGTTTACTCTGACAAATACCATCATTGTGACCGAATCTGACGGCGACAATTTGTAAACTTCGTAAGAATAGTAGCCTTGTCTTCAGGTTCGAGAATCCAAGAGGCCGAGACGTGTTCCTTCCTCGGTCGTAATCGCGAGACGCAGAAGTCAGCCGCGCACCCAACTCAACATCAGTATATTTTACTCCTCGGCCGAGCTCGGCCGACGAGTTGGCATGCCCCGCATTCAACCGAATGACGTAGTTAGCTCATAAATTACTCGGCCTGCGCGCCACGTAAGCTTGATAGTTTTTAGGGTCAACAATAACCTTCTAATGTAGATATGCCATGCATACTAGAAGGGTCCTGTCAACGCATGACTCGGTGCTGCATGGGATGTTCCTCGGCTAGCTGGTCCACGTGTCATTCAGCCATCCACTTCTTGGTGTTTTTAAAATTGGTAATGGCATCCTTATGTGCTACTGCTAATTATATATTAAATCTCAACTGAGCACGTTCTGCTACCAAGAAAGGATACAGCATGCATATGTCGAATGGCTACAAAAAAATGGGTCATTTTCTATATCTCCAACCTCACTGTGGGGTCCCAACCTGGTTTTCATCTATGAGTGGGCTGACTAACACCTTTCCTCATTTTGTCTCAATCAAGTAACTAAATGTCCTAA